TAAATACTCACGATCGATTAAGTAGTATGTTGCCAATCTCATAATTTTTATTTATTTTATTTTTCACGGTTCTGCAGCTAGAAACAAGGTCCATCGGAAAGCCACTTTTAGTTTTAGTCTTTTAGCTGATTCTGTACATTAATAAAATAAGATATCATAGAACAAAAAGTTAATTAAGCTCTAATATGAACGGTTGATTGTTTATAGTGTCAGATAAATATATTTCTTCTTGAATCTTGAGTAGAAGATCAAGACAACGATAATGATGATGGGTGATTGCTATCATATATGGTAATAGCAATTATGATAACGTTAATAAGATTCTGTGGATATGGTGGTGATTATAACAGGTGGAAAGTGAAGGTTAATATGGGGTCAATAAGGTGATCATAATGGCAAATTGGTTTACGGGATATAGTTTCTTAATCCTTATATAATGTAGTCTAATTCACAAAATAAATTATATGAGAAACGCAAAATATAAATTGACATTCTGATGTTTATATTGTATGATATGATGACCAAATATTATATGAAATCGAATATTATTTGATTTAATTAAGGGATAATAAATTGTCATGTAACATGACATCATTTGTGTCATGTTACACACACAAAAACACTGTGGGTCCCATTGTATAGTAAAAAAGTAAAAAAAGTTGAAGTGGATCCCATGCTATATTGAGTGTGTAGGAAAGTGAAGATTTTTCATGTAACATAACACTTGTATTTCCCTTTAATTAATTTTATGTGATATATCAAACGATAAAGTGTGCCTTACATCCATAATTTCAGCACGGGTGATTATGTAAACATATATGTTCCTTTTTAAAAGTTGCACATAAAAATAAACTACATCTATTTTTCTTCCACTTGAGTCACTGTCAAAACCTCTTCTAAAAGCTTCATTGTCACTAGCTCGTAACAGTAAACCAACATTTGCTTCCAAGAGTCCAACCCATGGTTGGATGAGTCGATGTAATTTGAGCACAAACTACATCATTCCATGATATAATACACAACTCATAAAGGGAATGCTCTTAGAGAAAGGTGATCTACAAGATACCTCAAAATGTAAAATGGTAGTAATTACATATAAATATTGCATATGGTGCAAGTTGTTAGTTACAATCTATGAAACACCGACACTTCAAAGACCTTGACGTGTCGTGTTCGACACTTTCTGACACTCTCTGACACTCCAACACGCATTGTAGAAACTCAAAAAATGATTCAAAGGTTGCATTGCGTTGCGTTTTTAGTTCCAACTATTAGATTCGTTGGATTACGATTATAATTTTATTGAGTTTAATATAAATATTTGAGATATCTTATGTTTCTTTGCAAAATTGATGGGTATGATAAGTTTAACTTCATTTTTTGTTAAATTATTGAATATTAAATATAATATACACTACATAAATAAAAAATATTATTTAATATCACAACGTGTCCTAACGTGTCAAAATCTAACATTTTTTAGAATTAACATGTCGAAGTGTAGTATCATTTTGTGTCACGTGTCCCGTGTCGGTATCGGTGCTACGTAGGTTACAATAAAGCAAAATTGCAATACCCCACTATGATGCTTAGTAAGGAGATAATGAAACTATTTATGGAAACTTGTCTTTAACTATTGATCTATCAAAATACTTGTCTCAGCAATGCCTAGTAATGGGCTTATATGTAGAGTACATTGGAGACATTTCTCCTTTCCGACAGTTTCATTGGACCGGGCGGCTATGGTGCTTGCTTCATGAAGCAAAAGTTTTTCACACACTTAGTGGATTGATCCACTAATTCAAAAAACAATGCATAGCCTTAATTCAAAAGGCTTTATGAAGACCTTTTGAATTTTGCCTCTATCTCTTTGTCCTAAGTTGGTGGAGTGTGTTTAAACAACCACCACATTTGAATTTGAAATTCAAATGTCTTTGTTGTTTCATAAAACTTCATCCAATCTTATTGAATAATGCTTCATATTTTACTATTAAATTAAAACTAGAGATAATTCTTAATTCAATTTGATATTAATGGATAATTAGAATTATCCATAACCTTATGGGTTTAGAGTTTCACTCGACCTATTTTACTCATAACCTTATCCAGGACCAATAACTCATTATTGACCCAAATGTGTTATATCATGCCATTAAAAACAATATTGGTGTGTGACTCATCAGACTCAATTAGTTACTGAAATATATAAACTTTGACTAATTAAACTTCTTTTATGAGTCTAATTTATTTAATGATCACATAAGACACTAGCAATGCTCTTGATCTCCAGAAATAATTGAGTTGATCAAGTGATCTATTTTTCTTGATTTGGATACCATGCCAACATTATCCCTCATACCATCGTTCATTTTTAGTCGAGAGCATTTATAGAGTATCATCTATCTTGTGTGATTAAATGAAGCTTTTCATAGAGTTAGGAGTCTTCTTCTATAAAACTCTAAGGCGGATCCATGACTCTTCATGTTTCCTTATTATACACAGATTCCCGAGTTCAATTGAAGTTATTTAAGCCCTATCAATCTTGTGAACGACTTATCCCTTGTAGGGAAATATGAGTCCTTTTAGCATGCTCATATATATTCATGCCTTCAAGTCATACCCAATAATACATTGTTCTCCATATTTCTAGGTGGACAGAGTCATACAGGCAAAGTATAACCTTAAGACATAGTGTTAGATGGCTTCCTCAAGTCAAGGACGATCCGCACTACAGAACGACGAGAGACATTACAAATCCAGTGATACTTTCTACAATGAATCCTTATAGAGTCACTTGACAGGTCAATTCACAGCCATATGTTCTCTAACAGATCCATCCATGACATCATTTAAGGCATCTCTGTACCTGCATTCCATAAGGTCTTTACCATGTATCTTCATACAAGTAGATAATGTCATGCTAGTCTTATTAAGACGACCAATGCTCTTTCTTGGTGACTCAAGACTTGGAACAAGTTTAAGGTAATAAATATATAGTGCACTTGAGTCCTCATGATCATGATCACACCGTAGATCCTCGAGTATGATAGGATTATGCTTCCATATTTAAAGGGAGTGAATTGAGTATTATAAACTTTTTGCAAAAGCCTTATTCTTATATCTAAATTAAAATCTATACAAACTTACATATAAAAAGTTAATCGATACATTCAAACAAATCATAATACACAATCTAATCTAATATAATCTATACTTGCACATATTAGACATTAAAGAAGCAATTAAAGTGCTAAAAATAAATAACGAGAGTTGAGAAAAATACAAATTCAATTTATCCTGATTTAGTCACCACTATTTTATGTCCTACGTCCAGCCTGCAAGTCAATCAATAATTCTTCAGTGTTAGTCAAGCTTAACAAATTCTTGATAAACTGCTACATCCTTAGGTGGTGTTTGGTTGGAAGATTTTTGTAGGATACATGGGGAAGTGAGGGTGGACATTCAATAATACCATGTTTGGTAGCACTTAAAAAAAAGAAATGATGGGGAAATTGTATTGATGGGGAAATTTTTTGTGAGTAATCTTAAACCAAATTCTCTTAAGGCCGTTTGGTACACGGATTTTTTCTGGATTTTCGGAAAACTGAAATTTTAAAAATTTTAAATTTTCACATATTATCGTAAACTGAATGTAAAAATCATATTTTTAAAAATTGAGATTCCCGGACAAATAAAAATTTCTCCTGTACCAAACGCCCCGTAAAGCTTTCGAGTGCTTAGAAACTTACAACCTAATGATAAGTCAACAAAACTTTTTATATTTTAACTTTGAGAAATATAAGAATCACGTTGCAGGAATAACACTGTTCATTCTTACAACAAGGATCCGGCAACATATCTTGAGGATACGTGCCGTATCCTGATTTTGGTTTGATTTTTTTTTTTAAGCGTGGGACCCACATTTGATTTGTGTGTACAAAAAAATAATCTTGTCATGTGACATGACCAAAATCGAACCTTTTAACTTTTCTTTGTATCGTTATATTTTAACTTTTTGATTAGCGTCTTTGGCACTCTAGAAAAATTTCATAATTAATTGGCTCTCCTTTAAACACGTTATTTATACGTTTTGAAAGGCATCAATTCAATTCTCCTATTTTTTTATTATTGTTTTTGGTTTTTTCAGTTAAAGAAATTAACTATCATATATTTATATAAAAAAAATAAAGAATATATTTTCAATTAAAGATTAAGGTAGTCCACCAATGGTTTCTTTTTTATCTAGTTAATTTTTCAGAAATATAGAATGATGACCAAATTTATTCACTTAAAGAACTAAAATAATAATAAAAAAGGAATATTTAATGAAACTTTTTTATGATTTAAGGTTAATGTGGTAAAGATTCCTTTTAAGAACTAATATAACAACACTTTAATTTTTAATATTTATTTTTATATAATGATAATTCTAAAATTGGAACCTATAACCTCATGCAATCTATATAAATATCTTTCCACTGAATCAATCATAATGGCTTAATATAAATCTTTTTAGAGTAAAGTATTTTTTGAGTCCTCAATAAATATCACGGAGTTCAATTTAATCTCTTAAAAAAGTCAACTTGTAATACTTTTAAATTCAAAATAGATTCATATTAATCCTCGTAAGGAACTAATATGAATCATTTTGAACCTTAGAAGGACTATAATCTTGACTAACTGGATTTATTTTAAATTTAAAAGAAACCATAAATCAATTTTTCTTTCTAAAAGATTAAAATTGGCTCTATAATTTTTATTACGGACCCAAAAATACTTTACTCAAAATTTAACAATCCTAATTCTTTGAATGAGAAATTGAGAATCCATAAAAAAACAAACAAACAAAATTGAGAAAAATTGGCTTTAGTACTTTTCCAAAGTCTTTGTTGCAAAGAGAGGTTCCCACTAAAAAAAACATTTGACAATTCCAAAGCCCCAAAGAAATATCATATCCCACACAATGTCCATGATCCATTGTTCTCTTTCCACCTTCAATATCAACCTCAAGACTTGATTTTGAAGACTCCACTTTGTGAACCTCACCAATCCCTATCTGGGTTTTGTTTTTCTTCTCTTTCCTTTACCATAGATCTTCACCATTTCATGTGAGTAACAAAAAGCTCACATTTTTAATCCCAATTTCACAGAGAAAGAGAGAGAAAGCCAAGCATGGCCTTCTCTTCTAGGCGTGGAGGAAACTGGGCACAATCGACCCTTCCATCCTCAAATCCAAAATCAAAGATACCCAGAAAGTCAAGAAAGAGAACATGGCTCAAAGATTTGATCTTTGCGAATTTCTTCACTTTTGGGCTCTTGTTCTCTCTCTTCTTGTTCCTCCTCATTCTTATCCGATTTGGGGTACCAAAACCCATCACTACACACTTCAGGAACCGTTCCTCTCGCTACAGGAAAACCCTCAGCAGAAAACCCTTCTCTGTTGGTGGTAGTGGGAACTACACCATGCTGAGTGCCACTGTTGACATCACCACCAAGATGTTGTATGACAAGGTTGAGTTCTTGGATGTTGATGGTGGGGCTTGGAAGCAAGGTTGGAGTGTCACTTACAGAGGGAATGAGTGGGATAATGAGAAGTTGAAGGTCTATGTGGTGCCCCATTCTCATAATGATCCTGGTTGGAAGCTCACTGTTGAGGAATACTATGATAGGCAATCTCGCCATATACTTGATACCATTGTTGAAACGCTAAGGAAGGTGAAGATTTCTGATCCTTCCCTTTTCTGGGTTTTGGAGGTTTTGTTTTGTTTTGATATTTTTTTTTTGTTCCTTCATGAAATTATGATTAATATTTTATGAGTAAGTTTATTGTTGGTTGATTACAGGCAAATTGTTGGTTAAATAAGTTTGATATTTGGTTAATGGGAAGTGATCTGAAGAGTGTGTGTATCCATTAGTACTGATTGAGTAAATTTATGTTTCTGGGTTGTGACTTGTAAGTGAAAAATGGTAAAGGTTAAGTGGTACAAATTTTTCTTGATTGAACTAGTTAACTTGCTGCTTCAAAGCTGCAAAATTTATATTTGGGCACTGCATATGATATCAAAGGTGGTACACCTTAAGGTAAATATTGTTTTATTAATTTAATAATATTTAAATGTTCATAGGAGACAAAAAAGATTGGCTGAAATGGAGAAAATATTGATTGTAGGCCTGTCAGTTCCATAGACAGCTCTTTCTTTTATTCTTTTTATTCATAAGTTTGAGAGCTATTTGAATTATGATATTGACCGGATAAGTGGGATATGTAGGATTCTCGCCGGAAGTTCATATGGGAAGAGATGTCATACTTAGAGAGATGGTGGAGGGATGCCTCAGATGTCATGAAGGAATCATTCATCAATTTGGTAAACAATGGGCAGTTGGAAATTGTTGGAGGTGGTTGGGTGATGAATGATGAGGTAATGTGATGTTGATCTAATGACTCTTATCTTACAGCAATGGCATTTGTATATATATTCTACAACTCCAGATATAGCTTTTTCCTTTTGAAGTACTTTTAACGATAATTTTCTGGAAGGTTGTTTCTGGGATACTTTTCATCATACTTGTTTTGATACAAGTTTTTTAAATTTAAGGAGCTCCCAATTTTCTCTCCTGTCAATGAAATGCATGCTCTAGAAACATACATGTCTATGGAATTATTATATCTAAATGAGAACCTCATCGAAGCTTTCCTGTTAGTGAAGTTTATTATTGGTGGCCTCTATGCTTTACTTTTGGAATTTTAACTTTTAAATTGTTTCATCCTTCATGCAGGCCAATTCTCATTATTTTTCTATAATTGAACAGGTATGCTGAAAGCTTTGTCTATTTTTTCTGCGTTTGCATTTATTATTATTTTTTTTAAAGGTTTTTTGGGCCTGTATTCTACATTTTCATGCTCTATCAAAATATAATCTTTTTGCTCTAGAGTTTTGTATATTATTTTGTGATGGTGCTTAATCATAGGACAATTATGTATCAGATAGCAGAAGGAAATATGTGGTTGAATGACACCATTGGGTTTGTTCCTAAAAATTCTTGGGCCATTGATCCATTTGGTTACTCATCTACCATGGCATATCTTCTACGTCGCATGGGTTTCGACAACATGCTTATTCAGAGGACCCATTATGAGCTGAAGAAGGAACTTGCTTGGCATAAGAATTTAGAATACATATGGCGTCAAAGCTGGGATGCACAGGAAACCACTGATATATTTGTCCATATGATGCCCTTTTATTCATATGATATACCTCATACATGTGGCCCAGAGCCTGCTGTTTGTTGTCAGTTTGACTTTGCACGCATGCAGGGTTTTGTTTATGAACAATGCCCATGGGGACAATATCCGGTGGAGACAACTCATGAAAATGTTCATGAAAGGGCACTTAAATTATTGGATCAATACAGGAAAAAATCTACTTTGTACCGAACAAATACTCTTCTTGTTCCTCTTGGAGATGATTTTCGCTATATTAATGTTGCTGAAGCAGAGGCCCAATTCAGAAATTACCAAATGCTGTTTGATTATATCAATTCAAACCCCAGTTTGAATACGGAGATGCAGTTTGGTACTTTGGAGGACTACTTTCAAACCCTGCGTGAGGAAGCAGAAAGAATAAATTACTCATCTCCTGGTGAAATAGGATCTGGCCTAGTTGAAGGATTTCCTTCTCTGTCTGGGGACTTTTTTACTTATGCTGATCGGCAACAAGACTACTGGAGTGGTTATTATGTTTCTCGTCCCTTCTTCAAGGCTGTTGATAGGGTATTAGAGCAGACACTTCGTGCCACGGAAATGATGGTGTCTCTATTACTTGGGTGCTGTCGGAGGTCACATTGTGAGAAATTTTCAATGGGGTTTTCCTATAAGTTGACTGCTGCTAGAAGGAACTTAGCTCTTTTTCAGCATCATGATGGGGTAACTGGTACTGCAAAGGATCATGTGGTTATGGACTATGGAACTCGAATGCATACTTCGTTACAGGACCTGCAGATTTTTATGTCCAAGGCAATTGAGGCACTTCTTGGAATCCGCTATGACAAATTAGATCACAGTCCTTCCCAGTTTGAGCCAGCAATAGCAAGATCTAAATATGATGCTCAGCCATTGCATAAAGTGATTAGTATTCGTGAGGGTACTTACCAAACAGTGGTCTTTTTTAATCCTTTGGAGCAAACCAGAGAGGAAGTTGTGATGGTGGTTGTTGACAGTCCTGACATTACTGTTGTTGACTCTAACTGGAGTTGTGTTCAAAGCCAAATTTCTCCTGAGTTGCAGTATCATAATAGCAAGATCTTTACTGGGAGGCATCGACTTTACTGGAAAGTTTCTGTTCATGCAATGGGGTTGGAAACATATTATATTGCCAATGATTTCGTTGGTTGTGAAAAGGCCAGGCCTTCAAAGTTGAAAATTTTCTCTAAATCTAGTTCAGTTGCCTGTCCTACACCATATTCTTGTGTAAAAATAGAAGCTGATGTGGCTGAAATTGAGAATGAGCATCAAAAACTAACTTTTGATGTAAGGCATGGTTTGTTGAAGGAGATAATCTTCAAATATAGTTCCCCAAATGTTATAAATGAGGAAATTGGTATGTACTCTAGTTCGGGTGGGGCGTACTTGTTTAAGCCCAATGGTGATGCCGAGCCTATTATTGAAGAAGGTGGGCAGTTGCTTATCTCAGAGGGAACTTTGATGCAGGAAGCATACTCTTATCCAAGGACAGCTTGGGAGAAAGCTCCCATTTCTCATAGCACTCGCATATATAATGGAGAGAGTACAGTCCAAGGGTTTGTCATTGAAAAGGAATATCATGTTGAGCTTCTTGGCCATGATTTCAATGATAGGGAGTTGATAGTTAGATATAAAACGGATATTGATAACAAAGGGATCTTTTATTCAGATTTAAATGGATTTCAGATGAGCCGAAGAGAAACTTATGATAAGATTCCTCTGCAAGGCAATTACTACCCCATGCCCTCTCTTGCATTCTTACAAGGATCTAATGGTCAGCGGTTTTCTGTCCATTCCCGGCAATCATTGGGTGTGGCAAGCCTTAAAAATGGATGGCTAGAGATAATGCTTGATCGCCGTTTGGTAAGAGATGACGGTCGTGGCCTCGGCCAAGGAGTGATGGATAACCGTGTGATGAATGTTGTCTTCCACATTACAGTGGAAACCAATATTTCTGCCATATCAAATTTGGTTTCCAGCTCTTTACCTTATAGCCCTTCTCTTTTCTCTCACCTTGTTGGTTCTCACTTGAACTATCCGTTACATGCATTCATTTCCAAGAAGCCACAGGAGTTGTCTGCGAAGCCACCACCTAGATCCTTTTCTCCACTTGCTGCTTCCTTGCCATGTGATTTGCACATAGTGAACTTCAAGGTTCCCAAGCCTTTGAAATTTTTGCAGCAACCACCTGAAGGTTCTAGATTTGCTCTGATCTTTCACAGGAGACATTGGGATTCTTCATACTGCCGGAAGGGAAGATCACACTGCACTAATCTGGCTGATGATCCTGTGAATCTGTTCAGCATGTTCAAGGATCTTACAGTCTTGAAGGCTAAAGCAACTTCATTGAACCTTATGCATGAAGACCCTGAAGTAATGGGATTCACAGAGCAGTTTGGAGATCTTGCACAAGAGGGGCATGTTGCCATATCTCCAATGGAAATTCAAGCTTACAAGTTGGAGTTACGGCCACTACAATAGAGTACACTCATTGGTGAATTGTTGCTGCTGATTTAAGCTGAACAAAATGTTTTTACTGCTCCATTAATGGTAGGGATGAATTCATGGACTGTTTTCTTTTCTAAACACTGAGTTTAAGGTGGTGCAGGTAAGAGGATATGTGAGGAAACACGTCCAAACAAAGAGTAGTAACCTTGGTTGAGTTGAGGAAGTGTGTAACACTGGACTTTTGTAGATTGCTGTTATAGAAACATGGATGAGGTTGTAGCATCTGCGGCTCCTTGTTTGTTTACTATGATGCTGCTGTAGCATTTGTTTACGTTTTCCCAGTCATGCAGTTCAAAGACTAGTTTTGCTTTATTGACTTACATGTTATTGTATAACACTTCTCTTAGAGGCTAGTGATACATGTACATATCTAATACCTCTATGATCCTGTGAATCTGTTCAGCCTGTTCAAGGATCTTACAGTCTTGAATTCACAAGTTCTATGCAAGGGATTGTATTCTTCTTTGGATGTTGGCTCAACAATTTGCCAAAATAATACTTATTCTGAACTATGAAAATAAATTTGCAAAGTTGGCATTAAAGTACAAGTTCTAGATACATGTTATTCATGTTAGTGGGATTCTTTTTATTTAATTTTTTCATCTAGGTCTTGCTTTTGATCTCATGTATTTATTTTATAAGAAAAATGTTTGTCCTTTTAAACGTCACATCTTGTGTTATCTTACTTTCACAAAAAAGTAGGATTTACACTTTTTTTTTGGTCCACTCTCTTTTCTCATGATTTATCTCTTTCTCTCATTTAAAATGATATTTACATCCTTGAAAATGACACATGTTTTTTTCCTTATTTTATTTAGGTTCGTTAACTATTAATTCCAACTAGTTTGGAGTCAAAATGATGTCAATATTGATCTAAGTCTTGTTTTATGCATGAAGTAGTTGGCATAAAATTGATGTTAATGTTGATCTAAATTGAGAAACACAACTACTACAGCTTTGGAAAATCTCACTGAGATTTTTTCTTAATTTTTCTAAGCTGAAAATTTTTATAGAATCATTAAATAGTTTTAACTTCAAAAGTAGCTTTTAAGTTAAAAAATAAATAAAATATTTACTTATTAGAATCGAAGCAATGGCGAGACTTATAAGTTCAACCATTTAAACTGATTGGTCAAATTATGTTTCATGAAAATAATTCATATACAATAACATGAAACATTAAAAAAATAGTTTTTTTTTGTTTTTTGTTTTTTTTTTAATTTCACGATTGGTCGGTTTAACTGTTTAAAGTGATGGATTCAACCAAATTTTGATTAGTCCAAAATGATATGATCGTAATTATGCTTAAGAGAGTAAACCATAACAGTGGGTAGAAGTAACAATTGGGTTCACCTAAACAAAATATTAGTTTTGATTTGCATTTTAATAATTGGTCTTATTGGTCCATTTGTGGACATTAAATTAAATACGAAGGATAGAGAAAAAATACATATTGAAATGTCCATATATAAGCCAAAAATTCCAGGCACTTCTTGCATGAGTAGGTATTTAAAGTGAATATTTCCTTGTTCCTGGAACTGAACTTTAATTTATCACACTCCTAGATGAAACAAATTCGAGATAGAAATGAGAAAACCAATGTGCTTCAAGCCTCTCCTTTTGATGAGTAACTAGTAAAACTCACTTCTTAGGATTATAATATGATTTCTTCTTGCACACTGACATTAAGAGTCTTATGGGGAAGAACAATGCTGTTGATCACCACCACCTCATCTTCAACTGTCACAGCTTCTCCTAAATTATTATTACAAGGGGAAAAAACAGGAACTAAGGTCAGTATTGGAAAATGCAATATGACATCAACTTTGAGAACCAGTGATATGAAATAAACAAAAGACAATCAAGTGGGCAGGGATGTGTACCTAGGATGGTTGTGCCAAGCTTTGCATTGTAGTCACCATCAGCCTGAAACATTCAATTCATTATTGGTCAGGCACACTAAGCTTGAGCAGTTAAAACCTATATTGCACCGACACCGACATGGAACACAACTTCAACACGTTAATTTTAAAAAATATTAGATTTCAACACGTTAGGATACATTTTGATATTAAATAATATTTTTAATTTATGCAGTGTATATTATATTTAATATTTAATAATTTAACAAAAAAATGAAACTAAACTTATAATACTCATCAATTTTGACAAGAAACATAATATGTAAATATTAGATATTTTTAAATTGAAAATCTCTTATACACTACAGTGAGATTTATTCGGTATTCATTTTAATTTTTATTATATCAATTTGATAAAACATTGATATATTTTTTCATGATATGTAATGAAATTTCAAATATTATAGATGTCGTAGCGTGTCAGAGTGTCGGGGAGTGTTGGACACGACGACACTTTAGATTTTTTGAAATGTCAGTACAACATAGGTTAAAACCACAAAGGGTTAAACAAGTTTTTCATCGGCAATTAAAATTGAAAATCTTTCTCCATATTTTTGCTTTATCCTCTTTAGCACTGGTTTTAAAAATGCACTGAACTTGCCTGAACCCGTGACCATCTTCCCATTGATGACTTCCATCCAACAATAGAATTTATAACTACAGCATTTTCCTGTCAGGAGGAAAAAAAAAAAAACATTTTGTTTATACATTGAAAATATCACACATCTTAGGCATCCAGTTCCTTACCTTAATTTCAACATCATCCAAGATGATACAACTGATTAACCTGACGCCAGCACTGACACGAACATTTGCTGAGATAGAAACATTTGGACCAATCTGTTCACGAAAGAAAAGAAAAAAATATTTTATATTTCATGCAAAATATTTAGATCCATATAACCATAAATATTGGTTTTCCCTACAACTTTGTTTTAGTTTACTTACAGCTAACATTTATAAATACAATATGCACTGTTCATCCAACCCTCAGGCTGAAAATTTGAATAAAAATCATGCCATCATCATCATTTCTCCATGAAACAGCCCACTTTTAGACTTGTATAATGGCATCAATGCACCCATATAGAACTATTTGGAAATATTGTATAATTCTAGTTAAGCCTTTTAATCTTTATTCAGCATTTCAGCAGGTTACTACCGTTCAGTCTTTAGTATTTTACAGTAGAAAATGTATCAATGAAATATGTCTCTTGTCTAAAAGAGGAAAGGATTTATAATCTTGTATAGGCAAGAATGGAACTACCTTTGCAGATGGATGAACTTTAGCAGATGGGTGGATAAATACATCACCAACAACTTTGGCATTTCTTTTACCATCTCCACTGGCCAAAAGATTGGGTGAAGTATTTCGGAACTGAGCAAGATACAACTCCGAGCATTTCAAAGATATTCTGTTCATGTCAAGTGTATACTATTAGTAAAACCCGATAACAGTCGAACATTAAAGCTTAAGGCAGTTAAGATACTATGAAACCCTACCCTGGAGTTTTAATTTGCTCCCAGAAATCCATTGTCTCATATGTATACAGTTGCTTCTTTCCAGCTAGAGGTGATAATATATCTTGATCCAGTCTTACAAAATCTACAGGAAGAGTCCTGAAGGAAAAATATCTCCATTAATCCTTGGCAATATTGCAGTTTTCAAAGGGAAAAAATCTGCAATGCTGAGGACGACTACATGACACTGTCTGGATTTTCATTGAATCATCAAGTACTCAAGTAGTATAGGAATAAAAAGCAATGGGGGTCAGATATTTAATCTCAAAACGGGAAAATTCAAGTAGTTAGGTGCAGAGACTCTTTCACATTTGACTCATATCTAAACCGATACATTGTTAGGGATGCGTTTCCATGCATGCCATCGAAAAAATAGTCTTGAATTTCGTTTGAATAATTCAAAATGTTAGAGGTATTAAATCAACCTTGTGGCTGATTGGAGTGCTTCAAAGCTGGAGAGACGACGTAGATTAGCTGCAGTGCAGTCAATAAAATCAAGTCAACTTACAATGATGAATATTTTTGTATTCTCTATGTAAAACGGCTAAGGATATGTGGTATATTTTGTAGGTAACTGAGAAGGAACTAGTGAAGTTAAAAGAGCTAGAATTAATATTCTCACTAGGGAATGTGAAAAACAAAATAAACTATGCTGATATAGTGAAAAACCTGAAAGCAAAAGCATGCAAATTTCCTAGTTCTAAGGCATGCACATGTTGTAGATACAACAATACACCAAATCTAATGCAACAGAGTTTTAAAAACAATTATTTGACAGCTTTACTATGCAGAGAACCTTCTTGTCATATTAAAATACGGAGCATCCTGTATTTTCTTCCTTGATTAACAATTAAGGGTTATTTACCTAAGAAAAAAAAAACAATTAAGAGTTCATTATGAAATTAGAGAAGGGCTACGTCCACATGTTTTTTCCAAATAGTATTTGTGTTAATTTCAATCATAACCAGTAATACAATAAATAGCTACATTTGATAAGACATTTGTCTACATGTTTGCTTGGCAAATGCGCTATTTGGGCTAGCCAATATATTTCTTTGGCATAAACGAAACAGATAAGACCACTTAAACCCCAGTGAGCCAAGAGAAATAATTGATTTGGATGCTTGGAATTTCAAAGGTAAATTGTGCATGGCCACCTTATACAAATACCAGTGAGACTCCAAATTTGTTTCGACAGAGATAGAAATTTGTGGAAAAACAGAATGATTAATATATCTGTGTATTAGGGATATTGTCAAATCCCTGATTTATGGGAATCAATCATGATAAATTAGGAATTTAGGATAGTTTCTTTTTCCTCTTAATTAGAATTGATTTAGTTTCCTTATTTCATTCACATGCAGTCTGTATATATGTTGTAACGTATCATTGTTGGAATTCAATTGAATAGAAAGAACCCTTTTTACAATTCTAAAAAGATAAGAAGATAGATAATAAAGGATAAAATAAAATGTAAATATTTGTTAGACCTATGTTCTTGTAAAAGAAAGAACTAAATAAGGAGTAGAAGAGGGGAAAAGCATGCATCATAATTTCGCGTGAGTGTGTGCTTGTTTGTGTGTTTGTGCTCTTGCAGATGAAAGGCAGCACCAAAACAAGAAGGAAACCATACTTGTTTTATGCAATACTTATTGTTTAAAATTCTAAAGGTTGAAGTCAAGTTATATCTTGTGCATCGGGAACCGATTCATTAGACACAACCCTTTTATGATTGACACTTTCTGAATTGTGATGGAAAGAGACCAACCTCTGCCTTCTCGGTTCATAGATACATCTTGGATGGCAGAAAAAATATCAGGTGTGAAAATGTAGACACCGCAATTTATCAAATCACTAACCTGCAGGTTATAAATTGGTTAGTCTTGTCGGGGCATGATCAGACGAAAAAGAAATGTAGCTTATACCAATCAAGCTCCAGCATTGGAATTTATTTTTTCTTGGAAAGAAAATCTTTTTAAAAAATGAAGAGAAAAAACCAAACTTAATACTCACAAATGTCTCAGGTTTCTCAGTATAATGCAGCAATTCATTAGTGGTTGGATCAGCAATCAACTCACCGAACTGGCTAGCAGATTCAGCTGAAACCTACACATGACATTCAGAACACCAGAAGGAGAATGAAAAAAGGGTTTTGCAATGAAACACAAGGATGCATCTACAGAGACATATCACCATCTGTATGTATTTAAATGCACAAGGATATGCATCCAATTTTTTCTATGTACCAACCTTGATAACCAACATTGTCCCCATCCCACCATATCTTTTATGGGCATCTGCAAAAGGAAACAAGAAATATTTCAGTAGCGCCATACTTTTGAAGAACAACAACTATGACTTAATAGCAACATACTTACCAAGCAAGGATGGTAGCGGAAAACTACAGCAAACATCACAATTTAGCAGAAAGATATGCGACTGCAATCAAAATGTACCCTATCCGTTAGAACTTAGACATTATGCATTCTAAATTTAATCCACAATATAATATAAAAGCAGTCATCAGAGCAGTGTTTTTAACTGGGTTGTCTTCCATGATAATATCTCTGAAGTAGTAAAGACCACCTGCTGAACCATGTGGTTTATCCTCCTTCAAGTATCTAGATTGATATTAGTCACACACCATGTCAGATCCAGCATTTAACAGAGCTTACAAGCATAATTATTATTATTTTAATTAAAGCTTCATATTAATGCTGTAGTCACCTTACTGGTAATTTCAGCTCATTTGAAATTGAAGAGACATATAGAGCGAATTCTCGCTCCTCATAGAACCCAAGAAGATATATTTGAGCCAAATTGGGTATCTGTAGAGTTCCAAACTAGTAAGTTAAGTAAAATACTCCACACCTTTTAAGTTATATATCATCCCTTCTCCTCTTCACCAGTTTCTAAGCTGAGATTCAATTTGAATTTTAGACTAATATTTACCACATATCATATATCAGTGACCAATTTTTACACAGACATAAAAAAGAGAGTATGCAAATCAACATTGAAAATGAAAGTTCCTTCTAGTTTTCTCAATTTGGTCAGGAACAAGGTAGTTAAAATCAAAATTTTAAGTAAAATCAAAATCGGAACGAGGATAAAAAATCTTAAAACGTAAAATCGTATAAACATAAGTTTGGAATATTGGTAAAATAGTTTTGATGAAAAAAAATAGTAAAATCGTAAAATTGTAATGATAAATCGAGATTTTAACTACAATAATCAGGAATAGTGTGAAGGGTAGTTGAAGAGAAAAAAGAAGCAAACCTTTTTACAAGCAGAAATAGGATGATGAACCATTGGCTGGCCAGCCAAAGGGAAAAGGGGTTTAGGAGTATTAAAGGAAAGAGGCCGAAATCTGGTTCCTGCAAATTAATAATTGAACAAAGACATATATAACAGATGAAACCCCAAAATCCAAAATGGAAAAAAGACTCAAATTTTGATCAGAAAACAAGTAAAGAATTCAAATACCTTTAGTGGGTCCACCCACCATAATCACAGCAACCACTTTCTCCGAGCTCTCCATGACCAAAGCACAGATCTTTAAGCTCAAAAACCAAAATGCTTGATTGAAAATTATGGGAATTGATACTCAACTCAACTCAGCTTTGCTCAAGTGAAAGTGTGGGTTCCAAGACAGAGAGGTTTGGTTAGCTTTTGGGTATCTTTGTGCGTTATGTTAGTGGCTCTAACTTTACAGTTTCCCACGGTTTGCACTGACAGCCAGATCAGATTCCTAGTATATGCCAATCCCATAAAACGATATAACATCGTATAGTAGTCGGTATTTAAATTTTGTTTCAGTTAAGGTTAAAGAGACAAAGCAGAGAAGGAAAAAAAAATAAGGAAAAGTTGAAAAAACTCGTGTAATATTGCTTTTAATCACTTACAAATTTTGTGATTTTTTTTTAATCACTGTGATTTTTTTCGTTCACAATTCTTTTTAATACTGTTCGAAAATTAACTAAGTGTACGGTTGTAAATATTAGTCATTTATTATTATTTGTTGTATTGGACCAAGTCCATTAGGTCAAGAATTAGGTCTTTTATTCTCTATAAATAGAGACATCTTTGTATCAAATTATTTACACAATTCAATAATATCAGAATACCCTTTTTCAAGTTGGTATCAGAGCTCTCGATTCTGAGGGCTCTGCTTCCGCAATTACCTCCGTTAAAACAGAAACCTTATTTCTCAGCCTCTCGCCGCCACCGAAAAAATTTTCGGTGGACCTTTTGGACCAAGAGGACCTGTTTTCAAATCCTTTTTCCTCTGATCTATCAGCTTACAGACGTGTTATAATCGTTTGACGACCGGATCTCCCCTAAACAACACAAGGCTGCTACTGTTCATCGCGTTTTGGACACTTTTTCGGCGACCTTTCAACTTCGACTGGCCACAGACAGGTTCGCGACCGACGGACGACCTCGCCGCAGAAAATTCAGCTCCGGCGGCCGTCGCACGCGCTCTCACGCGCCGCCACACTCCCGGCGAGTGAGGCCCACTCGCAGACACCTCCACCGGTGCGTGGAGGTGCGTGGCTCACTGTTTCCAGCTCCGACCAAAAGCGTTCTGATCGTCTCTTCATTCTCTTTCTGGATCTGTGCTTTTCTCTCAGATCGGACGTCGTTTGGTATTTTTTTCTGTATTTTTTGGCTTCTTGGAGCTTTTCTTTGACTAGTTTTTTGCAGTATGGCCTCCGACGCTGAAACTGAATCAACCCTTGCAAACACAACTACAAATTCTCCTGCACAATCTGTGGTGACCCCTCTTGGTCACAATGATCTTCCTGCTCTTCATCAGAATTATCGTCTGAATGGAAAGAATTATTTACAATGGTCCCAGGTCGTTCATACCATTCTCAAAGGACGCCGTAAAGTTGCTCATATTGAAGGACCTGTTCCTGCCAAAACAGCTCCAACATTTTTGCTGATTGGATGATGAAGACTCACTTATTATGACGTGGCTATGGAACTCTATGACTTCTGAGGTTAGTCAACACTGCATGTTTTTACCTACTGCTCTTGAGATCTGGAACGTTCTTAAGCAGACCTATTCAATGAAGCAAGATGCTGCCATTTGTTATGATCTGAGGAATCAGATCTTTTCTACCAAGCAAGGTTCTCTCTCTATAACTGAATATTATGGTATTATGAATAAGTCATGGACTGAGCTTGATCAGTATGAGAATTTGAAGATGGAATGTAGCAAGGATGCAGCCACTCTGACCACCTCCATTGAACGTCATAGGATTTATGATTTTCTTTGTGGTCTCAACTCAAAATATGACCCTATTCGAGTTCAAATTCTTGGTAAGGAAAAATTACCGTCTCTTTCTGAAGTTTTTCACATTGTCAGGGGTGAAGAAAGTCGCAGGGCTGTCATGATGGATACCAAACTGTCTGAAGGGTCCATTATGCTCTCATATAAAGTTATTACTCCAATTCCTGCTGATTCTAATCCCACTGATGGGTCTGCTATGATTTCAACAAAAAGGGACGGTTTTTCTCAAAGAAACTCCTTTACAAAATTTTCTGATGGTGCATCTTCTAGACCTAAGAAAGATGATCGCTGGTGTTCTTATTGTAAAAGAACGGGTCATATCAAGGATCTATGCTTTCGCCTCCATGGAAAACAAACGGTCTTAGAAAAGATGGCAAGGATGCGTGGTCAAGCACATTTTACTTCCTCTGAAATAGCTTCTGCACCTAATGAGACCCAACTTGCGTTTCGTCAAGATGAGTTGGAACGGCTCCGAACCATCCTTGATTCTCTGAGTAAGCCATCTGATACTAATGCTTTGGTTATGACTGGTATGAGCTCCAAAACTTATTCTTCTCTTTCTTCATGTACTGATTTTAAACATTCTTGGGTTGTTGATTCTGGTGCTACTGATCATATGGCTTGTTGTGCTGACTACTTTACTTCTTATCATCCTACCATTGAAACTCATACAATAGCCGTAGCTGATGGCTCACATACATCAATTGCGGGTTCTGGTAACATAAACTTACAACAGTCCTTACATCTTAAAGATGCTCTTCATGTTCCTAAACTCTCCACGAATCTTCTTTCTATTCATAAAATTACAAAAGATTTGAATTGTACTGTAACCTTCTTCCCTACCCATTGTGTTTTTCAGGATCTCGCCACGGGGAAGACGATTGGTAGTGCTAAAAAGCAAGGTGAGCTGTACTATCTGGTGTCACAATCTCTCGCAAATAAAGTAACATATCACATCTTGCTGTCTCATGGTCAATCAACTGCTGATTCTTTGATTTGGTTTCATTGTAAGCGCTTGGGACATCCTCCATTTAGTTTACTCAAGTCTTTATTTCCGTCATTGTTTTTGTTTAAGTCTGTTGAGTCTTTTCATTGTGATGTTTGTGAGTTTGCTAAGCATCATCGTGTGACTTTTTCTTCTAGTATTGCTAAGAGTGTTGAACCTTTTGATCTTATTTATTCTGATGTTTGGGGTCCTTCTAAGGTCCCTCATTCTTCTGGAAATAAATGGTTTGTTTCTTTTATTGATGATTGCACTCGTGTAACTTGGGTTTACTTATTGCGTGAAAAGTCTGAGGTACCACAACTGTTTTTTCAATTTTATAAAATGGTTGAAACCCAATTTGGTAAAAAAATCAAGAGACTAAGGACAGATAATGGTACTGAATATGTTAATCAAAGTTTTCCCAATTTATACGAAATAACAGTATGATTCATGAACTTATTTGTGTTGACACCCCTCAACAGAATGGGGTTCCTGAAAGAAAAAATCGTCACCTTCTTGAAGTGGCTCGTGCATTAATATTTCAGACACATGTACCCAAATACTATTGGGGAGATGCTATTCTTACTACAGCATTCTTGATCAACCGTTTACCTACTCGGGTACTTGACCATGTAAGTCCTATTCACTCTATAACTTCTTTTTTTCCTTCTATTCCAACTATGAGTCTTCCTCCACGAGTGTTTGGGTGTGTTGCTTTTGTTCATGTTCATAAACATCATCGCAGTAAGTTGGACCCTAGGGCTATTAAATGTGTCTTCCTTGGTTATGTTCCTGATAAGAAGGGATACAAGTGTTATCACCCTGGTAGTCGAATTTTTTTTGTTTCTATGGATGTTACATTTCAGGAATCTGAGTCCTTTTTCCAAGGTCCTCATCTTCAGGGGGAGAATAATTCACTAGAAAACTCATCACCTTCCTTCTTTGAGTCTGAATCTTCAGTGTCTACTCCTTTACCTGTGTCAGTGTCTCCTCCTCTTGTTCCTGTTCCTTCTATGTCTGATCCTCCTGTGACTGATACATCAAGTACACAAGAGATACGGAAGATTGTGACATCTGAGTTGGTATATCAAAGAAGGAAACAACCCACATTGCCTCACCAGCAACCCCAATCGTCTGAACCACTGGTAAGTCCTGAATCTCATATTTCTGATCATGATGTTAATACTTCTGATGACTTACCCATTACTACTGCTTCTGATGATTTACCCATTGCTCTAAGAAAAGGAAAAAGATCTTGTTCCAAGAAATCTTGTTCCTCCTGTCCCTCTTGTACTCAATACCCTATCTCCCATTTTGTTTTCTCTGCTAATCTTTCTGTGCAGCACAAAAGCTTTGTTTTAGCACTAGATTCTATTTCAATCCCAAAATCAGTACATGAAGCCTTGAAAGATGGGAATTGGGCTTAAGCCATGCAAGAGGAGATGAATGCGTTGGAGAAAAATAAAACATGGGAGGTTATTGATAGACCTAACGAAAAGAAAGCAGTAGGGTGCATATGGGTTTATGCCCTGAAATATAATTCTGATGGAACTCTTGAGAGATACAAGGCTCAATTATTCGCCAAAGGTTACACTCAAACATATGGCATTGATTATGAAGAAACCTTTGCTCCAGTTGCAAAGATGAATACAGTGAGAGTCTTGTTTAGGGTTGGCAAAAACGAGCCAACCCGTCATAAATGAGTCGGGTTGGGTTGGCCTAAACGAGCTGCCAACCCGATTCAACCCGGACCAAAACGAGCCAGCCCCCGAGTCAAACGGGCCAGCTCGCGGGTTGGGTATTTTTTTTTAATTAAAAAAATAATATCAAAACTACAAAACTGCCCCCTTTATCATTTCATCTCAGTCGCCGATGAAGTGCGTTTTTCGATTGTTCTGTCTAATGCAACTCCGTATAAAATTTTCATGGTAAATTTTCAAACTAGCTGCAAATGCTAACTTCTTTGACACATATATTTGGTGCTAATTTATAATATATGCTAATATGAACCAGGAATTAGTGCCCAACAATGTCCTTCCTGATGATTTTGTTCGTAGAATTAAGCACTCTGACTACAGTTCTGTAAGTTAATATACTACTTTTTTCTTAGTTTGTGTTTCTTCTTTAATACCCTCAATCTCTGCTATGTGTAACTAAACTAGAATAATAGGTAAGATTATAACATTTATAGACAACATGCTAATATTTTATTGTCTGCTAATGACGAATGCCTAGAATTCATCAATGGGAAAATAACATGTTCAGGAGGAAACTTCAATTTTTTTGAGTCAACCCGCGAACCAACCCTCGAGCCAACTCATTGGCAATATTTCGAGCTAACCAACCCGCGAGCCAACCCGTTGACATTATTTCGAGCTAACCCGCAAGCTTTTTTTGAGCCAACCCGCGAGCTTTTTCCCGAGCCAACCCGCAAGCTAATTATCGAGCCAACCCGCGAGCCAACCCACG